GTGCTTTGTTGGAGCGCGTTAGCGCTGATGGGCGCGGCCACGTTAGCAGCAGCATTACTAGTGGACGTGTGACCTCCCGCGACCAATGTGCAACAGGCGCGGAACCATTGGACCAAAGGGGCGATGACAGCCTGTCGTGCAGGATCCGCGTGAGTCATCTCAGGGGTCAGGACTTCCGCACGGAACTGGGGAAGACTGTACTGTCCTTCGGGACGGGCCACAAGGACGGCTTCAGAGAGATAGGACGGAAGAGGCATCACACGGCGGACCCGGAAGACATCAGTATCCGCGACACCGCCGCCGTGGGGGCCACTGTGTAGCACAGGAGCCGGCACGGAGTTGAACATCGTTCCTCCGTCAATAACTGTCATGTTGTGGCAGGTTACGTCAGCCGTGCGCTCGAACGCTGACATAGGAAGGACCACCGTGATAGCGCTTCGAAGGTCGTTCCCCACCACGATAGCGTAGAGATTGTTGTAAGGAGAGACTTGGCTAGGATTCACGGGGTAAGCGTAGAGTGAATGTCCAATGTAGATATTCGTTTCGTCATTCTGGAGGACGAAGCCAAAGGTGACAGGTGAACGAAGGCAAAATTGGCTCATAGCGCGAGAGGCAACATCACGATTCGCATTCGAGGCGCCGCCCACAGAAGTGAGGATATCAGTGTAGTTAGGAGCATGTACCTCCCATGCCGCTGTACGAGAGACGAGATCCGAGAAATTAGAGCTGGCCATGGTGAGGGTCGAAAAGATATGAAACCTGATGCCGGCGCAAGAGATTAATCTAATCTAGGTTCTTGCCTTCAGCGTCGGCTGAATGAAGAATTGTGAGCTGAGAGAGAGACAACCTTCTTGCGATCGGCAATTCAATGGCTGATCTTGGCTAGGTCGCTGGCTTTAGTGATTCATGGTTGCCGCTGTCGATCTTGCCAAATGTGGTCTTGGACGGGCGTCGTTGCCTTAAGGGTAATCTTGTTCGAGAGGCTTTGAGGAGCTGATGCGGTGCATCATCATGTGGGGTATCCATTTCCGGAACACAGGTGATGACCTGCGAGATGTAGAGATGTACTTGAGTTGTAGGTGAGGAGCGCGGGAATTAATTTTGCAAATTGTGAGATGGTCCTCTCGGCAACCATGATTAGGGTCATAGTTGCGAGAACCCATCAGGGTTCAAGTTTCCACGCTGCGGGGCGTGGAAACTCGGATGGGGGGTTCCCCAGGCGTGTTGCTGCTCAACACATTTGACACTGATACATTGCTACCACTCTGTGTTTGTCAGTCCACACTTTGATTGGTTGCAGAGCAGTGTTGATATGTCTGGCATTCCTGGCTTCCAAGTGCACAACATCATTGGCAGGTACTATTTCATGCACAAAGACTTGCAACACATGGAATGGAACGGCATTGCATTTGACCCTTCCTTTGATGCCTTTCGTGATTCCTTGGACCTCCTTCCAGAAGGAAAACAGGTGGTGCAGAGGAACAAGGCCTCTCGCTTCTTCAAGATTGCCAAGGAGGCACTGACCAATCACTTCCGACGATGGGCCAACAGGCGACTTCTACCAGTGGCACTTCTCTCTGAAGAACCAGCGGCAGTGGTGGTGGCTTATGTCATTCTTGGGAAGCCTTACCGTGTCACTCACCAGCAAGCCATCTGGAAGTCTACTGTGCATGGGTATACCTTTGACTTGCAGCGGTTCCATGATTGGTTGGTAGAAGAAACGTCCAACGAACACGCAACCTCACATTACACTGAGTACCCACCCCTGTGCACTCACGCGGTAACTATGGTCCTGGATGGTTATGACTTTCGAAACAAGAAGGAGAACACTGACAATGCATTCAAACAGTGGCTTCTCACCATGTACCTTCCCATTGCTTGCCACACACACTTCGTTGAGGCAGGTGTCAATGCAATACATGGCTCTTAGCCTTATTCGCGACTCGATCCTAGATAGGGTTTGAGTTCGACTCATGACGTAGTCCTTCGCGAATAGTCATTGAGACAGGGTTCTCATGACTGCTAGTCATACTAGGTTGTCCATGGAACATCGCTCTAGATATTTAGCCGGCGTGGAAAGCTTCCACGCTACTAGACAGCTACTAGCTGAAGTTTCCACGTGTTCCGGAAATGGACCGTGGAGTACGTAGAGTTATTACCATAACCTACGATATCACACTTCGAGGCCTCCCGCGGGAGACCAACTTCAATGAGCTTCACAATGATCTCTCTCATGGATTAGTTTTCGTAGCTTTCTAATCTCTCTCATAACTTTCATTCTCTCAAACTAAAATCACTTGAAAGATCTTTACACTAGCTTTTAGCGTAGTGCATCAAAGAAGCGAAGCTTGTCTCGCAAACTGACCACTCAGAGCAACTCCCCTCTGCCATTGCCATCATCAGATCTGCTGATGTGCACAATGCAAAAACTAGAAGCCCTTGGCTGACCTACCAAGTACTTATAGGATTGCAATACACGGCTCTTAGCCTTATTCGCGACTCGATCCTAGATAGGGTTTGAGTTCGACTCATGACCGAGTCTCTCGTGAATAGTCATTGAGACAGGGTTCTCAATGACCGCTCTAGTCATACTAGGTTGATGATGAAACATCGCTCTAGATATTTAGCCAGCGTGGAGTACTTCCACACTACTAGATAAATGCTAGACGAATCTTCCACGCGTTCCATTTTTGGATCGTGGAGTGAGTAGGATTGCTACCGCAACCTACTCTATCACACTCTACAGTCTCCCGCGGGAGTTCAGATCTACGATCCTTTGATTGTGGATCTCTCTCGTTGATTAGTTTTCATAGCTTTCTAATCCTCTCATAACTTTCATTCTCTCAAACTCAAAACACTCGAAAGATCTTTACACTAGCTTTTAGCGTAGTGCAGGATCCTTCATCTCATGAACAATGCAACAGCTCACAATGACAAGCATGCGGATTGGGCCAAGACTCAGAAGGAAACATACCAAGGCAGATTGGATGACATCCAGAAAGTCTTGAAGCTAGAGCATTTCAGGGTGCAGAGACTGGAGGACCTCAAGCAAGAAGCCATCAAGAAGGGAGCCATCAACAAGAAGGAAACCCAGAGGCAGAGGAATGGTGAAGTGGACCGATCTGACAACATCAATGGCCTCAAGAGGTATGGCAAGCTCAGGGCTGCCTACCACTCTGATGATGTCAAGCAAGAGTTGATCCACAAAGGTGTTGGCACTGAAGACCTCATTGCTCTGAGGACTTTCACCATGAAGAAGAACAAACTCAGGGAACTGGACCTTCGGACGATGGTGTGACTTCTGCGCAGGCCTCGGCGTCAACCCATCCCTCTGTGATATCCCTGACCAAGAGGTCCAAGCCTGCTACCTCCTTGTCTTCGGAAACCGTTACCGCGAGTCTAACAATGTCCGAGCTGACTCAGTGGACAAGGCCCTTCTTGCCGTCGGGAAGGGGATCACCGACCTGGGTCACCCGGATCCCCGAAAGCTCAAGGCTGTGCAATACACGGCTCTTAGCCAATGCAATACACGGCTCTTAGCCTTATTCGCGACTCGATCCTAGATAGGGTCTGAGTTTGACTCATGACGTAGTCCTTCGCGAATAGTCATTGGAGACAGAATTCTCAATGACCGCTCTAGTCATACTAGGTTGATGATGAAACATCGCTCTAGATATTTAGCCAGCGTGGAGTACTTCCACGCTACTAGATAAATGCTAGACGAATCTTCCACGCGTTCCGTTTTTGGATCGTGGAGTGAGTAGGATTGCTACCGCAACCTACTCTATCACACTCTACAGTCTCCCGCGGGAGTTCAGATCTACGATCCTTTGATTGTGGATCTCTCTCGTTGATTAGTTTTCATAGCTTTCTAATCCTCTCATAACTTTCATTCTCTCAAACTCAAAACACTCGAAAGATCTTTACACTAGCTTTTAGCGTAGTGCACCATGTCTATTGATAAGCACAGACCATAGCCGCTTACATGGCCCACAAGTAAAGTATAACAATGGCGGCAAAAGTTGCTCCCGCACCTCATTCCTTTGCCGTTGTTGCAACCAATGAGTAACCGATCGGAAGCTTGGCTCTCTCGCATCTATACAGGACCAGCAATGCGGCCATGTCTACTATGCTTCATTATCTGGAAGTATGACATCTCGTCTCAAGCCTGATACCTTTGATTGGGGAGCAGCCCATGCCTTTGAGGAGTGGCAGCATGATCTGAAGATGATTGAGAAACACCATGGAAAAGAAGAAAAGGAAGACATTCCACTCTCACAGAAGCACGCAGCCATGGCAAAGAAGGAAGAGAGCGACGAGGAATATGAGTTCGAGGAGAAACCACCAGCAAAGAAACCTGCCAAGAAACCAGCTGCCGGTAAGAAGTCCAAGCCTTTGACACCGTCTGATCATGGCTTCAAAGTAGTAACAGTAACTGACCTGGTTCCTTCCGGATTCCCGCAAGGCTCTCCCCAATTTCACGAAGGCAACGATTGTTCCCCAGTCTACAGTGGAGATCCAGGATTCATTACTGGTATTGGACGCCGCACAAACTCCCCTCATCGCCCTATGACTTTGAAATATGAAAAGAAAGAAGAACAGCCACCCATTGTTCCATGCCGCCACTGTGAACAGTATCCTTGCTACATGATCCAAGACATGGTTGGAGGCAGTCTGATGATGACAGGAGACATGATGAAAGAGGAGGGTTTCGACAACAAGACTATTAGGAAAGCAATGTACAAAGAGGCGGTTCGCATGATCTTTGGGCACTTAGGCGCAGGAAAACGTCGTCGTCTTCCTGTGTGTGTGGAAGGTGAGATAAAGGATACATGGCCCCGAAATCCTTCCAAGGATGCCGAGTACGTGTGGTACAAGGAAGAATGAAATATTTGGCGATGCTGCCAATCGAGCAAGTAGAGGCCGCGAGGCACCCTTGGCGATATCGTCGCCTTTTTTTGTAAACAAGCAATGTGAGCGAGAAGTGATCATACCCACTAAGTAGGATAATTCAATAGTAGACATGATCATTTACCAAGTTAGCGACTATGTTTTCTTTAGACCGAATGCTAAGAATAGATATCTTCGTCCTCGCTGTCGTATTCACTGTTGTTGTTGTTGTTGGTTGTTGTATTCGTGTCATCATTCGCGGTCTCATTTCTCTTGCGTTTCCCTCCTTGGCGTTGCTCCTTAGCGGGTAGACCATGCATCTCTCGAACCAGCTGCCACACCTTGCACGTACGACAGTGAGATCTTGGTCCTTGCTTGTGATCAAGGTTCTTCCGGATTGGCCACATATTGAGACCATCGGGTGTGTGCGCAATTTCAAAGCAAGTCTTCCCCTTAAACTGGGGCAATCGATGAATTTGTCTTGGCGAATCGGCAGGCACGCAGTTGTGAGCCGGCACCTTGCAGACAGAACAGACGCTCACATTGCGCTTGATGCCAGCCTCACTGATCATGCTACCAAAGAAACTGCCACACTCCAGTCTGCAAACAATACACTTTGGCCTGCCAGCACCCTTGACCACTTCCAATGGACGGTGATCTGCCATGGGATCCTTCTTTGCAACTGATTCCTTTTCCAGGGTATCATCAGGTTCATTTTACTCGAGCAACGACTCTGCCACCATCATCATGAACTCGTGCCGCTTGAGTTTGTTCCGAATCTTCAATCTGTCTTCATCCACTGACAAGTTCCAGGCGACGAGTCCATTCAATAACATACAATCCAAAAGGGCAAGGAAGATTTTCTTGTACCACTTTTTGAAGTGCGCTTTGGTGGAGAAACCACCAAAGTGATCTCTTATTTGGTCACCCTTGTCGATGCCAAACATCGTGGTTTGGTAGCCTATAATGGCTTTGGGACAATCCAATGTTTTCTTGATTGATCCAATCTGCCTTTTTACCTTTCCGATGCTGGTATCATTTCTGCTTGTGACCATTGACACCACCTTGTTATCGACCCACTGCATCTCCAGCAATCTATTCTGTTTGTCTACGGAAATCTTGTAGCTTCCGCGACCATCACTCTTCTCTAAATCCATAATGTCTTTGTCCCATCCTACTCTTCTTCTACGGCAGGTGCCGGTTGAGTAGATATTGCACTTAGTCAACAACAGTACGGCCAGCTGTGGGCACTGATATCGATTGTCCAGAGCCAGATGTCTTGCCCCTCTTGTTTCGGTACCAAAAGCTGACATCACGGCATTCATGGTTGCCTTCTGTGTTGTAGGAAGGTCTTGGATGGATGGATCGATACTTATATTAGCAGCGTTCCTTCCCTGGTAAACGTCTAAGTGCAAGATGGCATATGTCTTGGAACAAGCAAGGATAAAGAAGTCAACTCGAAACTTGTCTGGTTTGTCTTTGTTGTATTGCCTGCAGGGACAAAATCGGGAGCGACATGCCACTCCTCCTTCATCGAAAGAGCACCAACAGCCAGCGTGGAAAGTAGACTTAGAAGCAAGGTTCACCGTGTTTATACATCGTCTCAGCTGATAACACTTGTCACCTCCTTCGCCAGCCATGGATTTGCACTCTGGATGGAAAGCGCTTCTTATCTGCTTGAAGCGAATCAATGTCATGTATTCCTGAGCCCAGCCTTTGGTGTTCTTGATGCGCATAGGCCTTTCCTTCTTGCTGTAATTGATGCACTTATCCCTTTCGCGAAAGTAGGCTGGGTAGCCTCCCATATCAATGGGCATAAGCGAAATCTTCAACATGATTCCAAGAAAGACATGCATCTCTTTAGTTGTAATATCTTTCCAGACAGCCCCATGCAGTCTTCTGTTTGGACCACTGTCTGCAAAGATACTCTTCTTGGCATAGTCATTGGAGTGTTGAGCCAGTAGCGCAACGAATTGCCTACTGCATCCAAGGTGTTGGAAGCATCCTAACGGTGTGGTCCAGCGATCACTTATAACCCTTCTGAGAGTTGTTTCGGCATCTGTTCCTTGTAATAATGGCTTGCTCTCTTCATAGGGAACCTTGCCAGATTCAACCTCCTCAAATTTCCAGAGAAGCTGTTGCACGAACTTCCCAAAAGAGTTTTCCTGTGGGCTACTTGTGGCATCGGTAGCTTGGTTCTCGTATTCATTGCCGGAATCATCACTATTCACATTGTCATCCATTGCAGCAGCAAATGAATCATCGTATTCATTCAATTCAGCTCCATCGTCAGTTTCAGAGTCCTCATCCTCATTGCCATCTATTCGTCTTGATCTTCTTCTTTCTTTGCCGCTCTGCCTTGGGTTGGTCCCGCCGCCACTGCATGCGGTTTTCAGCGCTGCGTAAGCCCTTGCACGTTCTTCTTCCGTTGGTTCAGCTGATTGGGGTGTTTGATTATTGCCTCCATCATTCTGTTTCTTCCTTCCTTTACTTGTTTCACGTCTTGATCCAGATGGCTCTTGCTCTTGCGTGGATTGGTCCGCGGGAGTGGTTTCTTGGGTGCCGTTCAACAGGTTTTGCTCTTCCTCGTAGGCTACAATGAGTGACTTCAATTTGGCTTTCAACTCTGCGTTGCTTTTCAGTTGCGGCAAGGTCCATGTACTGTCCACATCAGTTCCATGTGTGCTCCACTTGAAGCCATAGTTCATTCCATTCGAATTGTAGGGACACTGAATGACTGTTCCGACGATCTCTACATCATCAGGATACTTGGCGACAAAGGCTTCCTTGTGAATTGTATTCAAGAACAGGTCACTGCTGGCTTTGAAACTCTTCCCCTTGTATGCAAACCTCTCTCTCCTCTTCTTGGCTGTGGCAGTGGTTTGTGTTGAGACCTGGGAGTCATTCGGTTGCTGTTGGGATTGTTCTGGCTCGAATTCGTTGCCACCTTCAGAGCCATCCCCAACAGGTCTAGCACTGCCAATTGGTAATTGCGAAAGGTCCAGTACTTCAGTAACTATACTAGCAAGAGCCTCTTCATCTAAGAGTGAAGCTGCTCCCAACAGGGGCGGCATATCTTCATCGTCAGCCATAGCACAGTTGTTGCGATCTCTTTTCTCACAGAAACCTACCACTTTCAGAGGACCGTATCTTCATCCTGGCTCAATTTCGCCTATGATGACCCATATATCAGGAGAAGCATCTTTTAGCGCTCTTTCGAATGGTGCTACCTACAAATCCTGAAAGTGTACGTAGTGGGGAGTTACACTTTAACAAAGTATACACGGGCCGTATATGGCCCGTGTTACTGAATGGCGTTAAGCGTATTCAAACAATGTCTCACACAGTACACACATATTATTAATACTAGCTAGTACACGGAATCGAATCACAAAGCAGACTACCGTACACGAGCTCCAAGACTGGTATTTTAAAATGTATTAATTAATATGCATACATGCATTAACAGTGCCGTGTGCCATACATACACTGCACCGCAAGATGAAGGAGTTAAAGGACAAAGTTTTTTCGAGAAGCTCGCGTTAAGCAATATTTCTATGCAAACCCTACGTATTAGATTATTTTGTATTGTTCTTCCACATTCATGGGAGGTGTTCTGCCACCAGCAGATCTCAGCAAAGACGAGTCGAGTCTATGAGATACTTGGTACATTGTACGGCTTGGGGGGAACGTCATCTTTAGAAAACTTTGTTTTCCCTACAATATTAGTCACTATCCTCTACCGGTGCATGTAGTTAGCAGCGCAGATAGCTCGGCCATGTAGACAGGTTGCTTGTAAGCAATTCATTCAGTAGGGTTTGATGTGCGGTACACAGTACCCGTATCCCAAGATGTCGAGCTCGTAGACTGGTAGAGTGACATTTCTTACTGTTTGGCATGTCAACGGCAATCTTCGCCCTAGCTAGCAAATCCCAAGGTTCAGTTCACTTGGCCTCAACCGATCCCCATTTTGGGTACGGTACAGTCGTACTAGTACTGGTACTCGTATCTTCAAATCAGGGACGCACCGTGGAAACAGAAAGTCACCTTTTATTCGCGCGGTCATTTGGTCATTAATGATGAGTGAACATCTCCACCGAAATCCATTCGCGTGCACCGTCCAGGATGCAGGGAGAGAAGACGTGGTAAAGATTCCCAGTCGAGCCTTGAAAATTGACTGGATACTGGGCCTTCCTCCACAAATTCTAGCTACCGTACCAGCTGGCAAATACAACCTCTCTCTCCACCCTCCGCTCCTCGCTCTCCTCGCTCTCTTTCCCAATATTATCTATCAATGGTAGCGGCTATGGACGACTTCCTGGTCTCTATTGGACGGCAGGACCCGCGGGTTTTCTTACGAACTCTTGGCTGTTTCCTGGTGCTAATGGCGGGTTCTGGATGGTGGCGGCAAGAAGGCAGTATCCTTCTCGCCCAAAACACTTTGGAGGGAACTTCAACCAAAAGAAGAGAAACAAGCAGTAGCTTTCCCAGCCCTCGTATGTTTCTCTACCAACTCAGAGACGCCAACGGAACGAAACAATCGGACGGAATCTTTAACAGCAGCAGCCTCAACGAGAAAGGCGCTATCGACCAAGACAAGAAAGGCAGTTTGACCAAGAATGTGGACCTAAAGACCGAGGAAGCCGACATAACAAAACAAGCGGGCCGTGGCATCACTGGTCCTGACAAGAAAGATACCATCTACCAACACGCTCTTGGACTGGTTATTGAAGAGCGGAAAGAAGAGGCTGATAGAGCCATCTCTACAACCTTTTTCAACGGTCTCCTCCAAGAGGGCTTGTACCCACGTGTCTATCCCCTACAGGACATGTTCCTTGGACCAGCCACCCCACATGTAGCAAATCGAACCAATCATGAGCTCGTCTTTAAAGCAGAAGCTCTCAACCAGACCCAAGCTGTTTGCCTCTGGTTCAACACGAGCAGACAAGGCCATTTTCCCCACTTGATGCAAGAGCTGTTGAGGTGCTTTTCCTGGTGGCAGGCGAACCAACATCAACAACCCGTGTTCGTCCGTAATGCGGTGAAAGGGAAAAGACCCGTGGGATACGGCGACGATTTCCTTTACGTCTTGAAGAAAGCCTTTGGTGTGCAGGTGGTTGATTTGCTGGACGATTTGCCCACCAAGCAAGATACCCGCTATGTTTACACCAGCGTCAACGAATACCCACAGCCACCCCATCTTTCGCAGTTGCCATGGTTTCAGATGCACAATCTACAGGATGCGACACTGCTACGGAAGGAAACTCTCAATCTCATGCGAAAAGAAAACAGAGTGCTAGAAGGGAATCAATTAGGTGGTTGTCCCGGAGATGGCAGTCCATCATCCAAGAAACAACCAATCATTGCATTCTTGAACCGAAACGGACCGCGCCATGTGGACAATTTAGGAGAGATTTTGGAGTCTCTAAAGAAGACCAAAGTGCTGGGTCATCCCTTGGGTTTGATGAACATTCACTACTTCTCGTCGTTTGACAAACTGACTTTCTGGGAACAGGTGGATGTCATGTCAAAGGTGGATATCATCGTTGGGCCTCATGGCGCGCAGCATACCAGTGTGGCATTCTTGCCAGCCTGTGGTGGCTTGTTGGAGCTGTTTCCCATGGGATACCACTATCCCAAATATTTTGGAACCTTGGCCAGAACAACGGGGCATTATCACTTTCATTTGTACACTGGAGGCACCAACATTGATGCCGAACTGAACCAGCACATGATGACATTGGAGGGTCGCAAAACGGCAAGGGAATCCCACCTAGCACCCAAGGCTGGGCAGGTACTGAAAGGAGTACATCAATTGACAGAAAGATGGCAGACCTGCTGCGAACGGCGACTCAAGGGAGAAACCGTGGAGGCACTGTTTTGATCGCAGAGGCTTGTTTTTGCATATGAATAGATTGAATTTACAGATGAAAAATCATGTAGTCGGATAACCTTTCCCTTTACAGTACTGCCGGTGGCTCGGAAATTGTCTCTTTCTTCAATCTCCGCCATCTACAAAAGTAGCTACACGTGGTGGTGAGCCTGCGATGTCGGAATTTGGGTGTTGGTCGCCTCTTGAACACGCAACTAGCTAGCTAGCTGGGATCGTTTTTCTTAAGCACATGGAAAGTTCCGAAACAACTGGCTAAGCTGCAGACCTCCTTAGGCAGAAATTGCCATCTCTTCCTCGGAAACGCCTCCTTCACACAACACTATTATTGTTCTCCAGCGACGTTCATCCTCCCCATTTTGGGCGACGCCATTGTGTCATTGTGTCCTTTTCTTTGGTGGCATTTGGTGGAGTTGCAGTCTTGTAATTCTTATGAGTTTTTTAAATCTTTTTGAGAAGGCTCTTTAAATAAAATTTATTTCGTTAAGTAAAACTTTACCCAATCCTTTGACACCACTGGAAGCGTTAAAGCGTAAGTAAAACCTAAATGCTTCTGGAAAACCACGCCCAACCATACGGTACGGTCTTAATACCAGGTACCAGCACTGACAGACACCAGAGCTCGAGGGATGCTCTCCCTCATCTACAGTTTACATGTTGTGACGAAGACCTTTGCTGCTCTCAGCTATTCGGCTTTTGGCTTTTTTCATGGGATGCTAATAACATACAGGGCCAACCATGAGACTCTCGGTGACGGCAAGATCAAAGCATGCATCTGAAGCTGAAGAAGGAAGCAGTGACGGAGATTCACCGCTTGCAGTTGGACGGCAGAATGCACCTGCTGTCTTTCAAGTTCCATTCCTAGTATTTGGTACTCTTGTCCTTTTGCTGTGTGCAAGTCTGGGATTGTGGCGTCAGCAGAAAAATATCTTTCTCATTCGGATTAACCTGGAGGGAACCAAGACTACCAGAAATACTACGAAAGCGCACAGTCACAACGATCTCTCCCTACTAGAGGATGATGCAAGAGAGGCCGAAGTCAAAGCTCCCGTCCTCCCCAGTCCTGATGAGAAAGATACCATCTACCAACAATCTCTTGAATTGCTCATTGAAGAACGGAAGGAAGAGGCCAATCGAGCCCATTTATCAAGCTTCTTTCATGGTCTCCTGCAAGAAGGCATGTACCCACGAGTCTATCCTCTACAAGACATGTTTCTTGGTACAGCGGCGCCTCATGTAAAAAACCGAACCGACAATCGACTAGTCTTTCCAGCAGGACCTGGGAGTCAGACCCAAGCCATTTGCAAGTGGATCAGCAGCAACCTGCACGAGCATTTCCCCCACATTATGCAAGAATTGTTGCGATGTTTTTCTTGGTGGCAGGCCAACCAACAACAGACTCCCGTGTTGGTGTTGGATGATAAGGAATTAAAGCAGGAATACGCCAGAGATTTTGTGGGCGTTTTGGAAAAGTCATTTGGAGTGCAGGTGGTTAAAAACAGACTCTTTTTGCCAAACAAGACAGATTCCAATTTTGTATACACGGACGTCAATATTTACTCACAACCACCCCACCTGGTGGAGAGGGCGTGGTTTCAAATACACAATCTACAGGATGCAGCACTGCTGCGCAAGGAGACTCTCAAGCTTGCAAAAGAAAACAAGGAACGCGACGACAGGAACCTAGCAGAAGCAACCACCAACGAATTATTGGGGGGATGCCCGGGAGAGGGTGGTCCACTATCGGCATCCAAGAAACAGCCAGTGATTGCATTCTTGAACCGAAATGGTGATCGCCACGTGGAGAATATTGGAGACATTCTAGAGGCACTCAAGAAGACCAAAGTACTTGGTCACACCTTGGGTATCCTGGACATTCATTACATCTCCTCCTTTGATCAATTATCCTTTTGGGAACAGGTGGATGTCATGTCCAAAGTAGATATTGTCATCGGACCTCATGGTGCTCAATTCACCAGTGTTGCCTTTCTACCAGCCTGTGGTGGTTTGTTTGAGCTGTTTCCCAAGGGATACTACTATCCCAATTATTTTGGGAGCTTGGCTAGGACAACAGGGCACTACCACTTTCATTTGTATACAGGAGGCATGAACATTGATGCAGAGCTGAATCAAGACATGATGACTCTGGAGGGGCGGATGGAAGCCAGGAGTCGCCATGTGATAGCCAATGTGGACTTGGTGCTTCAGGGAGTACAACAATTAGCGGAAAGGTGGCAAAGTTGTTGTGAACGACGGCTTCAGGGAGGCACAGTCGAGAGCCTTTTCTGATACCTGATCAGGAAAGCCTACTGGCGCTAGCTTTGCTCTATTTCTAATTGCTCGCACCCTGGCAAGATAGAATTGGGATAACGTTTCTACTAGTATGATGTTTACCAGCTAGCTCCAAAGGCATCGTAGAAATCCAACATCGCTCTTTTTATACTTGTAAAAAGCGATGGACTTGTGTCGGTTGAGTAGCTCGGGGTATTTTGCGGCGGATTAGAATCTCTCGCGAAAGGAGCCAAGTCTCGGCTACCGGTACAACAGTGGCTGAGATGAGCACGGTTAGTTTTACGCGCTGCTAAGACTTGTGTTGTTGTTGAATAATTTCCAGAACTGTTTCAACAATCTTTTGACCCCATGCAAAAACGCCCAGATGATCCGGTTCGTTGCCCTCCGGCAGGAACAAGCTCGGATTTGGTTGATAGGTGCCATCCTCTTGCTTGGATACAAAGACGCTGGTTGCATTGAAAAAGTGCAAACGACGAGAATGATGGCTCTTCTTTGTCGTGCTGGTGTCGTTGCCGATGATTCGGTTTTGCTGGTCGTCGTGTTGCAATTCTTCTTCCTGATCGATGAGCGCTTGGGATAACACATAGCACGCCAAAAGTTGATTGATGCGTCGAATGCTTTGGTTGTCCTCCGGTTCTTTTCGAGGCAACAAACTATTAATGACAATCTGTGCCGACGGATGGACACCTCGTATTTCTCGAACAATAGCCATGATGCCCGCCACGATGGACCGAGGCGACACTCCCAGCTCCCAATCCAGTGTCCCAATCATAATCCACCAAACTTTGGGTGTAAAGTCTCGTGTCAATAGTTGCGTCCCGTGGTGCAATCGGTATAGAACATGAGCACTGCGATCTCCGGTCATACCCAAAGCCATGCCATCGACATGACCACCACCCAAGCGAGTGAAGAGTGTCAAAAAGGCATCTTCGAATCGTTTGAGATGAGAATGCGCAATCCCGTATTCCTTGCCTTCCATGTGTTCTACCAGCGTTCCACCCACAATGGCAACATCCAAATCCCTTTGCCTTCGTTTGGTCATGATGGCATCGATGCGTGCCTGATGGGTGTCGATTGCTTGGTTCCATGCCTCGATGACGGTCTTGTCTTTGTCGTTGCGGGGAGACGGCAGAGTAGGGTTTAACCAGTCACACTTTGGACTCTATCGATCGGGCCGGCATACAGAGCCAAAAGGTAAGAAAACGGAGAAAAGATTATTCTTTATCTCACATAATGCCATTGGTTCATTCATTCGTCTTACCCTTGATTGACAGTGTGGAACTAGGTTTTCGCCACTATCATCTTCAACTTGTATGGAGTGTAGCAACTGAAGAAAGGATGTGTTGTGGTTCAGATCTCGTTCACAGGCAGTTAATGGATGGATTTGTTTTGTTTCTTCTTCCTGGACAACAGAGAATGCATTATCTTTCTCGAGAGGAGTTTCTGTGGTGGTATTATCCGAGCTCACAGTCCTGCCTTGGATGGCGACCACCACGAGCACCAGGGCACAGAGTCCCACCAAGACTTTACACCACAAGACACGCTGTCGTCGTCGTTCCTTTTGTAGCACTTGCTCAGTATAAGATTCCAAATCGTGCAGATTGACTTGCTGAAATCCACTGTCGTTGAACAGGATATCGTCATTATTGACAACAACGCCATATGAGTTGCTCGAAAAGGTCAATCCAATCTGTTCTTCCACGGCATGTCGCACTCGACTGACAAAGCGTCCACTCGATCTCTTGCTGCTGCGACCAGCCATCACCTGCTCATTGGTCGGGGTCCAGATATCGGGCATCATCTTGGCTTGGAGATTGGAAAGAGGTGGGTCGTTGGGGTTGTGCAAGTTTTGTGTTGCTGAGAATGATGAGAGGTCATTCGTGGCAAAAAGTATCTTTGGGCTGTCCGAAGTTCTGACCCCGCGATCCACAACTGGCCAAAGTGAAAAACACTTCCAAGCCGTTTGCACTGGCTCTTGGCTTGCAGTCATGCCCGATATTGCCAAACGCACTCACCTCTCAGCTCAAGAATGGCGTGATGCTCTTTTTCTCCGGTTCGGTCTTACCCCCCCCAGTTCTTCCAGCTCTCTGTGATGGCTGCACTGGTCCCTTCAGCGTTCCACATGCTCTGGATTGCAAACACGGCGGCTTAATCATCCGTCGCCACAATGAAATCCGCAATGAACTTGGTTCGATTGCGTGTGAATGCTTTGGTTCTCTCTCTTCTTACCGCAACAAAGATCCCCTCAAAGTTTTAACCCAACAAGAACGCGACAAAATGTCCAAGTACAAAGATGCGTGCGAGTTCAATCGCGCTTCCTTCCATCCTTTTGTTGTTTCAGTGGATGGCATGCTTGCCCCCAAGCCAAGATTCTCTTACAACTGCTTGCTTCTGCTACTGCCTCCAAAACTCAATTTTCCTACTCTCAAATGATGTTCTTCATGCAGACCCGTATCTCCATTGCCCTTGTAAAAGCTACCCATTTATGTCTCCGTGGATCCCACAAAGCCAAACCCTTTGCCCCCGTAATGGTCCTCAATTTCTTGCCCCTGATCCCACAGAACCTAGTCCTGAATTTCGACTGTTCTTTGCTTAAGCCTGGACCCAGCTGGCTTCCGTAGATGATTTCCCTACTCTAAAAACCCCGTTACTTCCAAGGTTGGGTCAGCACTGTCAAAAGCTCCGAACCAAGCATCACCTATTCAACAGATATCTAGTAGAGCTAGCTAGCTAGCTAGTGGACCCTGGAAAACTAATCAACTCCTGCACAGCATCCGCTGCATTGCAGTTGCTAAGTTAGATGGCCAGTAAATCCAACTGAGGCTGTCGTCAATCGCTGAAGAAAGCTCTCGTAGACGTTTTGCAAACCCGTCAGCTCTCGAGGCATATTGCCACAGGCATCAGCAATCTCATGCCAGAGTTTTGGATCAAAATCCCGGATGTTCTTCAGTGGAAGGCCAATTTGAGTGTTCAGCAGATTTTCTGTCTCTTGGGGCTCAAATTCCGTAACGTTGTAGATGCATTCATACGTTCGATCCATGCCAGCGGGAATAGTGCTCACAAACAAAATAGAATTCTATTTATCAAGCTTAGTAGTCTAGCTAGACTACTGTACATGACCATACGGCACGGTACCGAGCGACAAAGTTTTACGATACGCAATATTAGTACGGTACGCCTACTAGTACTGTATGGTCATAGACTACTTTACCGTATGCAACTTCAGTTCCGGCACCACAGCACAGGACTGAAAGAAGAACCCTCCCACGTCTCAAGGAGGAAAGAGGAGCCAACTTGGGGTTTCACAGCATCGAGATACTGATGACGCCTCGAAAGGTCCAAAGAGCAAGACACGATATCACGATACTGGCTTCCATCGATTGTTGCCTGCCATGGAGTTGGGCTAATCTGCAATTTGTCAAGCCTGCCCAATCGATGTACGTAACCGACAAACACCAGAACACAGACGACAATCGCCAACCCGCAGTCCAAAACAAAAGGATCAAAAAGTGACCAAAGATGGACACGCTTGGCGTCAGTGTCTTCCATTTGAAGCACATCTTTCTAGAGAAAGAGGTTTGCACTTGGAAGAATAGTACAACCAGGAATCTTCTTTCTAGGACTTCCAACATGTACGAAATAGAAGGCTTGGCAGGTCCTCCGGGGGTCATTCGAACCAAAGGAGCCAACACTGTTTGCCCAATCGATGGGAAAATGGGTGCTGCCTATGTCCACTCTCTACAAGGAGAGGACCATGTTGGAGAGGCAACTCATATGCTCAGCTATTCGTGGAATTATTCGATTGGAGATATTGTGGATACCCTGTCAGACTATTGCCTGGAGCAAACACTTGATCCAAAGAGGACCTATATCTGGATATGTTGCCTCTGTGTTAATCAGCACAGAGTCGTTGAAATTGCTGCAAAGGAAGAGTCTGGAATGATTTCTGATTCTACCCAAGTCGACTTCTTTGCCATCTTTGGAGAAAGAGTCACAAAAATTGGGCATCTCTTGGCCATGATGGCTCCATGGAAAGCACCCATCTACATCACTCGAGTCTGGTGCATTTTTGAAATCTTTACGGCACATACCAATGGGTGCAAGGTGGACATTGTCATGCCACCCAAGGAGAAGAAGTCTTTGGAGTGGGATGTCTTCAACCATAGAAAAGGCATCAATTTGCTATATGAGACTTTTGGTAACACCAAAGTTGAGAATGGCAAGGCATCTGTGGAAAGTGACAGGCTAGCCATCCTGAGCAAAGTTGAATCAGGCGAAGGTTGCTCCGTACTGAACAATCAAGTGAATGACTTGTTGCGGCAATGGGTGTTAGCTGTCCTCACAGAGTTGGCGGAGACAAGAGAAGCCACTGGCAGTGAGGAATATATGGATTTTTGTAACGGAATTGGGGTTATCTTTGAACGGAATGGAGAGCACAGCGCAGCTTTGAAACTCCACAAAGCTGCTCTAGCCATTTGTCAGACAATTCTAAATCAGAACCATGAAAAGGCAGGTGACTGCTACAACCGTATTGGTTTTGTTTTGTATGAAATGGGTGACTATGATAATGCGTTGGTGAAAATGAAGCAAGGCCTTGCAATTCGGATTTCAGCATTGGGCAAGAATCACCCAGACACTGCAATTTCCTACAGAAACATTGGGCTTGTGCTGGATTCCAAGGGGGCCTACAAAGGAGCTTTGAAAAAATACAAGGAAGCTCTTTCAATTCAAAAGTCAATATTGGGCGAGAATCATGCTGAAGTGGCCGCAAGCTATAACAACATTGGAGCTGTACTGTGGAAGAAAGGGGACTATGATGGTGCCTTGTCAAAGTATCAGAGTGCCCTTGTCATAGAAATGTCAGTGCTGGGAAGGAATCACCCAGATGTGGCAACTAGCCTCAGCAACATGGGTTCCGTGATGAGTGCCAAGGGAGACTATCATGGTGCCTCGAAGAAGTTCCAGGAAGCCCTTGATATACGATTGTCCGTATTGGGGAAGGTACATCCCGATACTGGTAGCAGCTACAACAACATTGGTTCTGTTCTGGATGATATTGGTGACTACGAAGGTGCTTTGTCGAAGTACAAAGAAGCTCTGGCCATTAGATTGTCAGTTTTGGGCAAGGATCATCCCTCGGTGGCAACAACCTACAACAATATTGGCCTTGCTCTGAATAATGCTGGTGACTATGAGGGTGCTTTGTGCAAGTACAGGGAAGCCCTTGCGATTGAAGAGGCAGTATTGGGCAAGAACCATCCTGATGTGGCAACCACCTACCACAACATTGGAGGAGTTCTGTATGAGATGGGCGATGTTGACAATGCATTGAAAAAGTGTAGGGAAGCTCTTGCCATTGAAGAGTCTGTCTGGGGCAAGGGCCATCCCTCAGTGGCAACCACCTGCAACAATATTGGCTGTATACTGGAAAAGATGGGAGACCATGAAGGTGCCTTGTCAAAGTTCAGGGTGGCTCTTGCCATAAGGCTGTTAGTCTTTGGCAAGAAACATAGGTTGGTGGCAACAACGTACAACAATATTGGTTCTGTCCTCTGGAAACAAGGCAATGGCGATGGTGCTTTGTCAATGTATAACGAGGCTCTTGAAATCAGATTACCTTTGTTGGGCAACAATCATCCATCAGTGGCAACCACCTTCAACAACATTGCTTCTGTATTGAGTGCTAAGGGAGACTATGAAGGTGCTTTGTCAAAGTATTTGAGGGCACTTGCCATTCGAGAAACAGCTCTGGGTCAGAAGCATCCGTCGGTGGCAACTACCTTCAACAACATTGGCTCTGTACTCAGTGCCAAGGGTGACTACCATGAAGCCTTGTTGAACTTCAAAGCATGTCTTGCCATTAGGCTATCAGTATTAGGTGAGAATCATCCCGATGCTGCTCAATCATACCATGATATTGGTTCAGTTTTGTTTGCCATGGGTGACTATGGTGAAGCCTTGTCACAATTTGAAAGGTGCCTTACCGCAAGGGAAGCTGTGCTGGGGCCAAATCATCCAGACACATTGATTTGCTTGAAATCCATTGAAATTGCCAAGGCAGCTAGAGACCACAATCAACTAGCTAGCTAGATCTTTTTAGAAATGAACCGTTTCTTTACCAAAAATGATGAGCAGTTTTTTTTTCGTGGTTGCTGCTGACTTTGTTGCTGCCTCTCCTGGGTTTCTGCTTCAGCATTGCTTCCAAGGTCTCACAAGGCAATCGTGTATCAGTTCTGCATACTATCAGGACGACAGGGAGACCGACCGTACCATATCAACATTTGGGACCGCAATCATGATCGGCTCCCGATTCCCTGGTCCTGATAGATCCTCCGTGGCTTTGATTTGATTTGCATCCTTGCTTTTCATATCTTGGCTTCATATTCTTGCTGCGTGTTGTGAGTCCTTAAAATGGTAGTGTTCATTGTGGCTATACTAGTAGTTGGCAGCTTCAAGTTGCGGCCGTAGCTGAGCGAGGTACCCCTCTTTTGGTGCAGGGAAAACGTGCTTCTTAGGGTTTGAGGACAATGCAAGGCAGAGGAGAGGGAATCCACGGCATCCGAGGACGTGTGAGCCAGGGAACCAAGAACCGATGATTCTGCATATGCCAACACAACAACGCTCTTTAAAACTCACAAGAAATGTTTGTTCGCGTTATGTGAAGGCAACACACTTGTGCCTCTGTGGCTCCCGTAAACTCGATCCAGCACCGTGTCCTGGTACAGATCCCCTGATCCAACGGAACCCAGCCCCGAATTTCGCCTTCTCTCTGTGTACATGACATTGACCTACTCTAAACCCACCTGTCTCATTGTTTGAGTTGAAAGGGGAAAGTTACTATGGATTAGAGAGCTAAGATGAGGATGGGTCTCATTGTGCAATGTCCCGCATCGACGAGCATGAGCAAGGTAGGTGATCAAACCAACGATCGATCCAAGGGGACAACCTCTACACTTGCTAGTAGCTTGCCAGCTCCGGCGGCTTTCTGCCGTACTACCCAAGCGATTAGGGATGATTGACCGTTCAGTTCGGTCTGAGGAGGGCTCGGGCTGGCTAGAGCCAGCCACCAGCTAGCCAGGAAAGGGCAAAGCTCAAGGAAGAACACCATGAAGCCAAGAGGTGTGCATTGAATCGAGAGGTGGAATGAGGCGCTTGAGGACAACCCACTTGCGCCGGGGTTAGCCTTTGGCCTGGTCCGCTCTTTCCCGAAACTGGAGCATCCTTGCTACCTGTCATCATTTGTAAGTTTCGTGAATCGCCATGCTAGATTTTTCGAGCCCTTGAGAGTGGATAGTTCGTAGCTGTTGTTCCCTTCAGGAAAGTGTCACACGAGGCAAGTCCGGAAGAAGTGGCAATGCCTAGCATGGTCCGACGAAACACGTGCCAAGCGAAACTCCACAGATTGGTGTCTACGAGCAGTTTTATTCCAATTACACGTACATATTTACTGTAGAATTTCCTGCCTGCACCCTTGAGAATCCACAGTCCACCCCAAATCCAAAAGATAAACTGAGATTATCCACTGAAAATGAAATCACGGCTGCTGTTCTGTCGTGTGCAGATATTCTTATTCTTCGATTTTCTTTTTCTTTGTTCACTTGCGTTGCTGGAATGCATGATCAATACCTCATTAATTTTCTTGACCTGTACCGCCCATACACTCCACAATGACCGCATCCTGCGTCCCCGATACTTTACTTCCTCTTTCCCTCCAGTGCATACCACAAGGAACCGGCAATGCAAATGAGCAAACCGACGATTTGGAGGAAGGAGAGTTGAGTACCAAACAGCCACATGCCAATCAAAATGGAGACAGCCTTGTTGGCAGTCGATGCCACAACCACAGAAGTGCCGGAAACCAAACTGAAGCACTTGGGGTAGGCAATACCAATCAAAACTCCACCCAGACAGGTGGCAAAAATCATGCTCTTTGCCGCCATGGTCAGAGGTCCCATTTCCCCAAAGGCAGCTGATTCGTTGTTCATAATGGCCAAGAATCCCACAATGGGCAAGGTCTCAACTTGTTGAATAAAACTGACACCGTAGGATGTCTGAATCTTGAGTTCCTTGGTGTAGTGAGTAATGTAGAATTTATTCCAGAAGGTGTTGATAATGGTGGCAACACTATTTCCGACCAACCATAGGTATCCCATCGCATCGTAATTAATGTCTTGAAGGGCATAGAGAATCATTCCGGCGGTGGTCAGAGCAAGAGAAAGAACTTGGTTTTGATTGAACTTGTTTCCGAAGACAAAATAGTCAATAACGGCAATGACCACGGTACAGGTATTACGAAACGCCACAACGGTGGCAATGGCCACAAAGGGCAATGCCTTGAGGGATGTCAGAATCTGCATGGCCAAAAAAAAGGAACTGACGGCAAAGACCTTCCACTGCTGCAAGGCAAAGGGTTTCATTTCCATCATGCCGGCATAATTTCCGATACCCAAATAGAGCACGGCCGTACCATTTTGCATAAGAGTCAATGTATTGGCAAATGCCCAATTCCTCATGACATACTTGTTTCCGACCGTCATGGTAACCGATGCCAGAAAGAGCATGAAGAGCCAAAAGGCGGCATCTTTAATGTCCTGTTTTTCGCCACTCAATTTATCCAACACGGCGGATGGCTTGGAGTCCTTGCTGACGAGAGGGGAGATCTCGATTCCTTTTTCTTCGTCTTTGTTCATGGTACCCTTGTTGATGGTTACCATATCCTCTTCCTCGTCGATTTCGAGAGATTGTAGTTTGGATTGATTTTTATTGGATATGGATGTGTCGCTGCTGTTATCGTGACTATTGCTTTTGTTGTTGTTGCTGTTGTACATCAAGGAAACGGGTAGCAAAAGACGGCAAGGGCAGATAAGTTGGTGCACACCGGTGGCAAAGGAATGGAAGGCAGGCCAAGAAAATAATGACAAATCTCCAGCAACAAACTCCTGCTGCTGCCTCTCCAGTCTCTGGGTATCTGCTACGAGTATGCTACTTACATTGGCGAAAAAGTTTTCTTCAATCAGCGGTTCCTTTTGATACTGGTATCTGTGTGGTTGGTGGTTTGTCAATTCAGGCGAAAAAGACCCTTCTGCGCGGTACAATGACGGCATTTGGAACGTTGGGTATAATAATGATACTTGAGTTTTTCATGGATATGTCAAGCAATAGTGACTATTTTACTGTTGAAATGTGCATTTTCAAAACGTTTCTTTGAATCGAATCGTAAATTTTCACACAATTGATTTTCTTCACGTCCCTCCGGTCACAACTGAACCGGTTCCTTGTTCGTGAACCAAGATCGGATGCTTGCAACGTCCAGTCACAGACGGTGTCGTGTTGGTGTTACGGTAGGCAGCAACCTACTAGCTAGCTAGCTAGTGCAGAGAGGTACAATCGAATGGGACAGCGGCACAATCAAACAGGCGAGAAAGCCAATCTCGCAAGGATTCTTAGTCACTTTTAGATGGGCGACTTGAAGTTTGTGTCCCCGCAGATTATAGTCTACCCCAGCCACAGAGCAGCTAGCTACCTACCTGAAAGCAACTTTTGCCTGAACCACATTTTCTGCTTCTATTTCTAGTGAAGCATGCAGGGCGCTGGATTTTGTTTGGAAGAACTCCTCGAGGACTGGCTGGGAAGTCCCCTCCAGACAACGAAGCAGACAGAACAGAGCACCATCTCTGAGCAGCTCTCCTTTTTTATTTTTCAATAAGAGATGGTGGCATTCAACTGGAGGGAAAGGCCGCCCAATACAGCAAATAGGGACCTGCTGTTCCTAGCCTTGGTCCATCGCGGTACCGGTAGTTTTCCCGGGGCCTGGAAGTCCTGGGCTCCTCAGTCTTTAGATTGTCTGTTTCCTCTCGAGAGACGCCAGTCATGACTTTTCCGGGACTCAAAGATTCGGTTTTAGATTTCAGATCCAAACTCGCTGGCTAGGTTTTGCATGGGAAAAGCTCAATGGGCGGTGTGCTACGTGGCATGGCCATGTCACATGGTGGCGGCCATCAACAAGGAATACTTAATCTACCGGTAAGACTCAGGGTGTACTGACGTACTGACGGTATCTCCAACCACACACCACAGTACACCATGTCGACACAAGAAGCTTTGCAAGAACCTCTCTTGGGGTTGGCGGTTGGTGACTATAGTCCGTGTGATCGTTTATACTGTTCCGTGGTTTCTGCCATCCTGCTATGATTGCATGGCTGGCCACCGTGCGCGACAATTTCTTGCAAGTGTTAGGTGGCATCCGCAGGCGCCCTTCCATCCATGGTTCCACGACTGTCATCGTCATCATCATGACGACGACGACGAAAGCAATCGTAAAGGGCTACGTCTACTTGTATTTCCTTCTCGTGGTGCAATTGCTCTGCGTGTGGCATTTGGGCGGCAGTGCCTTTGCCGACTCGATGAAAGAAGGACAACAATCATCGCATGACTTGACGCCACGGACCATCCTCACGACACTGTAGGGGCATTGGTGCCCACGGATGGATCATGCATAGTGTTTCCCATACCGGGGGGATTCCTGAGCCATTCCCGAAATTTCCGCCGTCATTGATTGCTCAAAGTCCTGTTAAGAACCACCACCACAACAACAGCTACTGGAATCGAATCAATCGCGAGTTGAACAGCAACAAGAGGATGAACCAGACCTTAGTTGTATACTCCTTATTCCTTCACCTTTTGTGAGTGGGGGAATTCTGAGGGGAATGGAGGAATTCCCCAATTCCTCGAAGGAGCAGGAACAAGACTGTCCAGTCATGAACATGACTGGGAGTCATGAATCAGTACTGTTCTACACAAGTCTACGTGGAGTCACTAGTGGTACTGGCAGTTAATTCCTTTCCCCCATTCCCTTTCCCTCTAATGCTTCCTTCTAACCCTGAAGGAATAGTGGAGGAATTCCCGGAGTCGGGGAATTCCTCGAAGGAGTATACAACTAAGAACCAGACAGACAACAATAACCCCAATACCATAATGCTACAGTCCCGTACGAAAAGCAAAGAACCGGGAACTTTGCTTAAGCCTGGCCCCGGCTGGCTTCCGTAGATAATTTTCCCTACTCTAAACCCCCTTAATCTAAGAACCGGGAACTGAAATCGAAAATCGAATCACGCTACATTTTGGCCGTCACATTGTCTTGTTTGCCTCGGGACTCTCGACCCATTCGCCATTTTGGCCACTTTCATTCTGACTAGCTAGCTAAGTTGCATCCAGCTAAGACCCGTTTTACGGGAACAGAATAAGATTGCATGCCCTCATGGGCGGAGTCCTGGTAGAGCATGTCTTTCTCGATGACAAGTCTTGCCAGGTACCGCTCGCGCATGGCGTTGGTAGGAGCGGACACAACAGCCAGTTTGGAATACACTGTGGAAGCACCACAGGCACCGTCAAGGCAACATCAAGAAGTTTATGGAATGGTGAAGACTCACATAACAAAACCAACTAGTTAGACTAATTAAGATTTACTATTACTCCACCAAACAACTTGATTCTTGAAACACAGTTGATCCTAATTCAAACTTTTCCCAGATTTCGTTGCTCTGCTCTTCCACCATTTCTCCACCAAACAACTTCTTCCTGGAACTGCAAATGAGAAAAGCACAATTTAAACTTTTTCCAGAGCTCTTGCTCCAACCTAAAAAGCTCTTCCGCCAACTGCTTCTCCTTGATTGCTTCAACCCAGCCTATGCATTTCTTTGTCTCTGGATGCTCCAGTCCCAACATTGGTTCCCTGATGGCAAGGCATTCTTGAAATTTCAAAAGGGAATCTTCATAGTGACCCATACTAAACAGTGCAGCACCAATTTTGTGGTAGCTGATTGCCACATCAGCATGATCCTTGCCCAATGCTGACGACCTAACGGCAAGAGCTTCCTCATACTTTGACAGAGCGCCTTCGTTTTCATCCATCTCCTCCAGGACACCCCCCATGTTGTCGTATGACTGAGCAACATCAGGATGATCCTTTCCCAGTACCAGTAGCTGAATGGCAAGAGCTTCCTTGTGTTTTGACAGAGCACCCTCGAAGTCATCCATATCATACAGCACAAAACCAATGCTGTTGTAGGTGGTTGCCACATCTGGATGATCCTTGCCCAATGCTGACAGCGTTAATGCAAGTGCTTCTTCATATTTTGACAGAGCACCTTCATGTCACCCATATTTCCAGCAAGAACCAATTTGTTGTAGGTTTTGGCCACTTTAGGATGAGTCTTGCCCAATACAGACAGCTAATAGCAAGAGCTCCTCATAATTTGACAGAGCACCTTCATTGTCACCAATCCTCCAGCACAGAACCAATGTTGTTGTAGGTAGATGCAACATCAGGATGATTCTGCCCAATGCTGACAATCTAATGGCAAGAGCCTGTTTGTGCTTTTCCAAAGCACCGTCATAGTCACCCATACTCTCTAGGACAACCCCCATGTTGTTGTAGGTTGTCGCCACTACACGGGTGATCTTTTCCCAGTACTTCCAATCTAATGGCAAGAGCTTCTTCATATTTTGACAGAGCACTTCATGTCACTTTTCCAGACAAGCACATGTTGTTGTAGGTGGCCACTTTAGGATGATCTTCAATACGACAATAATGAGAGCTCTCATATCTTGACAGAGCACTCATTGTCACCCATCCTCTCAGGACAAGCCAATGTTGTTGTAGGTGATGCAACATCAGGATGATCTCTTCCCAAGTACAACTAATGGCAAGAGCTTCCTACTTTCAAAGCACCTTCAAGTCACCCATCTTCAGTACAAGCCCAATATTTTGAGTGGTTGCCACATCAGGATGTATTCTTGCCCAAGCTGACAATCTAATGGCAAGAGCTTCGTCATATTTTGACAGAGCACCTTCTTGTTGCATCTCTCAAGACGACAATGTTGTTGTAGGGTAACCAATCGGGATGATCTTCCCAATGCTGACAATTGGATGGCAAGAGCTTCCTCGTGCTTTGACAGAGCACGTTCATAGTCGCCCATTTTCTGGATGGCAAGGCCAATGTTGTTGTAGGTGGCTGCCACTTCAGGATGATCTTTACCCAATGCTGACACAGTAATGGCGAGAGCCTCCTCGTATTTTGACAGAGCACCTTCATAATCACCCTGTTCTTTGAGGATAAGCCCAATGTTGTTGTAGGTTGTTGCTACAGCAGGATGATCCTCGTCCAGTACTGACTTTTGAATGGCAAGAGTTTCCTTGTACTTGGTCAAAGCACCTTCCTTGTCACCCAGATCACTCAGTACATGCCCTATGCGGTTATGGGTCAATGCAACCTCAGGATGACTTTCACCAAACACTGACAATCCAATGGCAAGGGCTTCCTTGTACTTGAATAAGGCGCCTTCATAGTCACCCCTCTCAAGGAAAACATCTCCAATGAGGCTTCGAGTTTTTCCTGTTTTCTCATGGTTCTCACCTAACACAGTCTCACAAATTGCCAGAGCAGTTTGGTGGAGTTTCATGGATGCACTGTGTTCTCCATTGTGTTGAAAAATGTCCCCAATTCGATTGCAGAACACAACATAGTCTTTATCGTTGGTGTTTTCTCGGGCACTCACCAGTTGAGTCAAGACACCATGCATCCATCCACGTAACAAGTCATTGACTCGATTGTTGAGCACAGAGTATCCAACATCCGATTCTACTTGACCAAGAATTGCCAGCCTGTCACTTTCCACAGATGCCTTGGCCTTTTCAACTTTGGTGTTGCAAAGAGTCTCATAAAGTGCATCAATGCCTCCTCCATTATCAACAACATCCTGCTCTAGAGATTGCTTCTCCTTGGGCGGCATGACAATATCCACCTTGCAGGCATTTGTGGTGTGAGCTGTAAAGACTTCAAAAATACACCAAACTCGAGTGATGTAGATGGGTGCATTCCATGGAGCCATCATGGCCAGCAAATGACCAATCTTTTTGACACGTTCTCCAAAAATGGCAAAGAAGTCCACCTTGTTATTGGCAGGGTTTACAATCATTCCTGATTGTTCCTGCTGAGCCGAGTGTTCTACGACCCTGTGTTGATTGACGCAAAGGCAACAGATCCAGATATACGTTCTCTTTGGATTGAGCTTGTGCTGGTGACAGAAATCGGAAAGAGTATCCACAATATCCCCAATCGAATAATTCCAAGAATAGCTTAACATATGAGTTGCCTCTCCCACATGGTCGTCTCCTTGTAGACAGTGGACATAGGCGGATCCCAATCTTCCATCGATTGGACAGACAGTGTTGGTACCTCTTGTTCGGATGATCCCCGGAGGACCTTTCAGATTCTCAATTTCATAGATTTTGGAGTCTCTGGAAAGAAAATTTCCCGTAGATGCATCTGTTGACGTCAAAATTTCTTGTGCCAAAAGTACATGTTGGAGGTGATGGACACTGACTCCCAGCGTATCCAATGGTGCCGAATCCTTTTTTGGCTTGTGTTGGTGGCTTGTGTTGTTGGTGGCTGTGCCAGCAGTGGAGACAGCAGGTCGCGGTGTTGGAGAATCTTCCGAGCTCATGGATGCGAGGGGTTGTATACCGGTACTTGCGGTCGGGTGGATGTGTTACTTTTGCAGACGTGGGTATGAAGGCTAGCTAGTAGAGTTTGCTCGGAAGACAACAAGAGCTTCGTCTTTTTGAAGCAGGGATCGAGTTGTCCCAGGAACTGAACGTAAGCCCTATCCTTACAAGATGAATTCCGCGATCCAATCTTGGGGAACTCCAATGGCTGGATCATCGCGACCACAACCACAAACTCCAAAGCCAGACACAAACCCAAGCAGTGAACAGGCTGTTGACTCTTGATTGATACATACACACATAGATAGCTGTTATTAGAAGACAAAAGGAGAAAGACAGAAGAGAACCATGGCCACTGGCGGCGACGACGACGATGATTTTGACGATGAAATGGCGGATTTGTTTTCGTTTGGCGTGGATGCGGCGTCTCCACGATCCTCGGCCACGGAAACAGCAGTAGCGACTGCTCCAGCTCCAGGTCCATCAACCAAGGCGGATCCTCCAGTGGATGATTTGGACGATTTGTTTCAACAAGATGACGAATCGGACGATTCGTTTTTGAAAATGCTGAATGAACAGCCATTGAAGTTGCCCACGACTAGTACTGGTACTAGTACAGCAGCAGATGCTACTACAACCAATGACCCCGAGACGCAGGACATTTTGAATTGGTTGGAAGAAGATGACACGGACGCCGATGCTCTATTGGCAGCTGTGGCAGACGAATCGGCTCAAAAAGTAACGACGGCGCAAGAAGCACAAAAGCAGCAAAAGCAACGAGAAGCTGAAGCTCAACAAAAACAAGAACAAGAGGAACCCCCCAAAACCAAAGCAATTGTCGCTCCCACATTTTCCTCGTTGAAAGAAGCACTGGAATCGAGTCAATCCACCAAATTGCAAATTATGGAACAATGGGAACAAACGGCGCATTGTTCACTGCAAGATGATCCTTCGTTACGACCCCTCTTGTGGTCTCGCATCATTTGCAATAAATCCATTCCAGAATTGGAAGCCTCCAGTTTGGCAGATTCCTTTCAGCAGTTTTTGACACAACAGCAATCTACTCGGAATAACAACCCAAACAACAAAAATAATGAACAATTGGAAACCTGGATTCGAACCGAATCGGCCAAATTGGCACCTCGCATTGTACGGGCCAATGGAAACATGACCGTCAATCAAGCTGAAGAAGCACTCCAATCCATTCTGTTATATCACTATCACAACAGCAACAATAGCAACAGCAACAACAATTCTTCCACCCCTACTGATACTGACACTGACTCCACTACTACTACCACTGCTGGCAATAGTATCATTATGGATCCACTTCTACCACCCGTCATTTGCGCCATTTTGAGTGCCGGTGTCCCCAAACTCGCTACACCCGTACTCATGAGTCACATTACTCCCAATTACATGCCCTTTCTTGCACTGACACCGCAGGAACGAACCGAAGCTTCCAAATTGTTGCATTCTCAATTCTACTTGCTCGCATGTTATCATTTGCCCGATCTCGTCTATCATTTAGATCGATATGTGCCTGGATGGTATTGGGCTATTCAACAGCAACAACCACAAGACGAAAAGGAAAATGACAACAACAAGAAAACCAATTTTCAACAACAAGGCGTCATTCCACCGTCGTGGCTCATGACACATTTAGTGGGAGAATCCAGTTGTTCCAATTCCTCCTTTCTACTCGATCCCGACCGGGTCCTACAACTCCTCGATCTCGTCTTTACCAATGAAAACAATTCACTACGATTCTTTTTGGTATTGGCTGTACTCGAACAACATTCCGATCATTGGTTGGAATTGACTGGCGAAGAGCTCTTGCAAGCGTTGCATCACAATTTACAAGATTCGACGCATCGTGTGAGTATGGACGAATGGCACGCTCGAGCCAAGTCCATGAAGGCGGCGACACCCGATAGTGTCGTCGACAAGTTGCGCACGGCCGAAGATGAATCCGTCCGTGCGGCATTTCAAGCGAGACAAGAACGATCGGAAGCCGCCTTGAAAGCGCGCCTCCAAGCCGAAGCCACGGCCCATCGACTGGCGCAAGAACAAAAAGCCGAAGAAGCACGCACGCGGTTGACACGAGCGCGATTGGTGGCATTCTATCGTCGCTTCAATCCCACCAAGGAACAAAATGTCGACAAGATTATGGAAACCTACAAGGATCGCATGGGAGAACTCGATGCCAAATTAAAGAAAAAGTACGGAGTCGGATTCAATCCGGCACTCAAACCAAAGAGCAACAACAATAAACAGCAGCAGCCCAAAAAGACAATGGCCGAAGCCGCCAATGATTCCATGAAAAAGACAATGGCATCCATGAATTACGGCATGAAGAGTTTGACGACCATGAGTGGAAGACGAAAACACGATAATCCACTCAATGACGACGAACGACAAGATACCGATGCAATGAGAATCAAAGAACATCGCGTATCGGTCAGTGTCAAGGTCGGAGAGACGTTGCCGTATATTTGCATGAGTCGAGAACAAGCCAATGACATTCGACGCGTCTGTCTCCAAAAGGATTTGCCCATGCCTCTACGTTTTTACCTCGTCGACAGTCGTTCCGATCTCTTGGCCGAACAACAGGGACGATTCCCCACGGCGGCACGGCTGGCGCCCGAGACACTGATGGATCCGGAACTCTTGCAAAAATACGAAGATTCCTTCGAAGCCGTTCGTGGATCGTTTCACATTTGTGTCATGGGAGAAGGATACAGCGCCATTCCGGCACTGTACGGACAAAAGTTGACACCCAATTTGGAAGAATACATGCGCGAGGATGAATCGCGGACCAACAATTGTGCATTGTTCTTTGTCAAGCGGGGATTTCCCTTTGTGTCGGTACTCGAAGGTGGATTCGCATCGGCGCATGCATGGCTCGTACGGGAGGGACCCAAAAAGGGATTTGATGTCAAATCGTTGTTGGTCGATTACAATACAGACGTATCGCTATTTGGGCAAATGGAAAAGATACGCATGGAACAAAAGGGACAGGCCGTCTACAAGACGCAACGGGCATTGCACAATCTTTTGGAGACTTCCATGGCGACACTGGTTCGTGGCAAGATGCAGTTGGAAGGATCGTTTGCACAGGAAGTACAGGCGACAGTGGCGGCCAATAATAGCAACAACAACAAAAAGTCCACTATAGGAGCGGCTACACTGCAAGACGAGACTGCTGGGGGTGGAGGCATTACGAGTTTCACGTCGTTCTTTGGCCGGAGGCAGCAAGTTGCGGCGGTCGACAACAACAAGGCACCGCCCAAGCAGGATCCTCCAGCCGATAATAAGGACAAGGCAGAGGCCACCACCAACAACAACATCAGCAAGACAAACCCGCCAGCACCTGTCCCCGCCGCGCAACAGGCACCGCAGAACCGTTTCTCAAAATGGCGACAAGCGGCCGCATCTGCCATCCAGGAAACAGCACAGCAGCCGGCAGCACCGGCATCGGCTGCTACTACTACTCCACAGAATCAACAGCAACCGCAACAAGCAAAACCGAAACCACCAGCACCCACCGGGAATCGTTTTGGTGGGTTTGGAGGGCTCCTGAATCGTTCCACTTCACAGGATACGGACCCCAACAACAGCGCACAAACCAAGCCCCAACCAGCAATGCGACGTAACCCATTTGCTCGTTTTGGTGGTGGTGCAGCTGCAACGACGGAGCCTGCCAAAGGAGCTGCGGCTTCTGGCTTTGGTGGATTCATGAAAGCAGCCCCTGGTTTTGGTCGCAATGCCCCCACCGAAAACGCTGCCGCCAACAAACCCAACACCACCACAGCACCGACAAAGCAACAACAACCGCCGGCAAGTGCCACGATTGTACAAATCCCACCGAAACCGGATGCTCCAAAGGGAAACGAAGAATCCATCTCGTTTGAGAATGGCGAAGCTAAAGAGAAGAATGCGACTCCCAAGGTTCGTCCTGTGTGATGATTCGATTCGACCTGGATCGTCCTGGTCGCAGCATCTCCTGCCCGGTACAATGACGTTAAAATTCTGGCTGCGATGTGCGATGTTGCGACGACTTTGGAAGGACGAGTGAAGCTGCTAGGACGTCACAGTAAAAATGCTAACTACTAGCTAGAGCTTTTGATCATGCTTCTTGTCATTTCATCTTCGTTTAGCATAATACTGCTCGGGGCGGTTCAGCGCAGGGCTCCTATAGAATCAACCACGAAAATCCCAATAGAAGCAAGCTAGTGCCTCACCTATAAGCCCAACACAAGACAGGCACAGGGTCATCACTCCCCATACAGAATCACCGCAAATCCCAATACACACAGCAGCAGGACACGCCAGCCTGCCAGTGCCTCGCCTATGGGACCAGCACAAGCCAGGGGCAGGTAGGTCAGCACAGGGCTCCCACAAAATCAGTTGCTAACTCTCCTCTGATAACCTTACCAGACTCAGTGAGAATCTTGTAGGTCATGCCATGGCCAACATCTTCTGCCACTCTAGCTATCTACGCTAGCTAGCTAGAGATGAAGGGTCTGGTTGGAAATGGAAGATCTAGCTAGCTAGAGGCCAGCTACCATAGAAAGGGGTCAGGAAGAGCCATTTTCTTCCCAGTTGCAATGACGCTAAGATCTGCTTGTCGCTGCAGAGGAATTGATTAAGTTTAGGGTTTGTTGTGGGAGTAACGAAGGCAAGTACTGATACAGTACAATGTCATGTACTAGTCCCGGTATCGGTACAGGTTCCAGTTGTAGCAGAGCGGGGAGCTCAAAGGTGATCAGGAAGCATGTACATCTTTCCCCATACTCCCGACAATACTCTAGCTAGCTAGTAGTCACGAAGTCTTCTAGTAGAGGCTTCGATTGCTACTTGTTGCCCACTGTCCTTTGGTTTCTATCTAATAAATGACTGAAGCAAGGGGGGGTTGGACTTGTAGATTCGCGACAGTAGGTCCCAGTGCGCTCACAGTTCAACCGGCGGCACCGATACGTACCGTAGCAGTTGCCCTGATGTTCTGTCTTTTCTGAGTCATCTAAGTGGAAGCCCCACCACAAACGCTCTCAATGATCATCGTGATCCATTGACGGGTCAGCGCATTGAGCACTTCGGGTCCGGGGTGCACCAGATGCTTTCCTATCGCATTCGTCTTGTCCACCTCTCGATGATCCGGACGGGACAGTGTCAACCAGAAAGCACCCATCACCGAAATTGCAGTGTTACCAGAGCTGCCGGCCGCATTCGGTGTACCGGTACCTGCTCTCACAACTTCTTGTAACATGTCACTGTTGAAATGGTCCACAAAGTTGGGATCACGAGGCAGGGGTTGTGGATGGGTAGGCGGCCAAGCAAAACCAAAGTTGCCATACTTGGGCCATCCAGCTGTGGTGGTTTGGAGTACCTTGAGGTCCGCTGGAAAATCGGATACAAGGCTCAGCAGTGCTCGAAAGGACTCTTTGTAGTTTTTGGTGCAGGAAACATTCAAGCGAAGCAGCTCGTGTCAGTTGGGCATTGCACATCGACGTGAAATGTCGCGCAGGCCCGAGTTGAAGAGTATCATGTACGTCGTCATTGTCTTCTTGAGTTTGGTGCTGGTTGCATTGTGCAGAATGCCCTCAAGGGCAATTGAAACATTTGGCAGAGTTTGGTGGAGACCTCCATGCAATGATATCAGGCTGGTTTCAATGTGAGGCAGTGCCACAGAATGATTGCTGGCAGTGGTGTCAGTAGTAGAGCTGACAGTCTTCCAAAAGGTATCAAAGGTCTTCTTTTGTAGACGCAAGTTGGAGTCGCCAATGTAGATGACATGAATGTTGCTGCCCCTTTCACAACCTAGTTTGTTGATAACTCGGTTCAAAGGTAGCAGTCTGCAGTGCCAAGGAGCATATTTCATTGGCACTCCCAAAGAATTCAAACCTTTTTGGTAGCCGTCCATCGTGACACAACCACCCACTTTGCTGGAAGGACTTGACTTGTTCCAGTGGCTGCTGTAGCCTTGTCTTGTACAATGCACCGACCGTTCTCAGTAGCAGGGTGAGATCCTTGTGCATTCTTTGCCGGTCATGAAAAAGTCCGCGGATTGGCAGAGACTTGTTTTCGAATTCGCTACGTTTGACTGTTTGACTCCCGAGGGGACCCGGATGTTGATTCCGAAAACCAAAAAGACGAAATTGATATGTTTTCCCTGTTTCATTTGTTCAAAAAGACCGACACGGTACATGCACATCCAGAGCCTGATGCACCGTTGTGAGGCGAACGGGCGAATAGCCACTCAGCCATAACTGACATTGAAGGGGGTTTAGAGTAGAAAACTGGGGAAACGTTTACGGAAAGCCAGTGAGGGCCAGGCTTAGGCAAAGAAGAGGGGAAAGTTGGAAGTATCAGGGGGTTCTTGAATGCGCAAGCTTGAGACTTGAGAGCAACATATGACTTGGTGTGTGTACTACATGGACATTTTGCCTATGCTTTTATTGCTCTATGGTATTTCGCTACAAGATAAGGCGAGTGCCACTTGGGGTGACTCAGGCGGCTGCGGGCCTTGCAAGCATCCGAAGATGCTCATTCATGTCAAAGTTAGGATTCTGAGCTGCCTCCCGAAGCATGTCTTGAATGCTGGGTAAAATGCAGTTGGCGGGAAGGGTCCAATCGTGAGGCCTCTTCTTTTCGTCGGCCCATCGGGATTCGAAGTCTAGCCCGTCCTCGTCTTCATAGGAACTGCTTGTGGACGAATCATCACTGTCCGAGTCATCATCACTGTCCGAGTCCGAGTCATCGTCCGAGTCCGAGTCATCACAGTTTGCTTGGCAGTCGCTGTAGTCAAGCTTGGAACTACCATCCATGTAATAGCTACTTTCATCGCTCATCTCAGAATAATCGTCATCGTACTTGCAGGCGCCCAGCATCTCATCGAGAGCCAGTGCCCACCGCAACTGGGACCTTTTCGTGGGGTCATTGGGAGGCAGATTCTTGTCTTGGACATCACTGCTGCAAGCACTCCAGCGGTCGGCACCTGCCTCCAGACTCGTTCTTCGGTGTGGACGAACTGGACTGAGGCTACCGTTGTTGTTCGCCTTGTTGGCGGTGGATTGTTTGCTTCTATCCCATCTGCAAACTGCAGTTGGAGGGCGAAACCTCAGTTTCACTTGGTCTCTGGCACTATCAGAGAGGATTGCTGGGTTGTCTGAAACAATTCGAACCTCCTCAAGCTCTGAGATCTGGCTGTTGTGGGCAAGCAGGCCCTGAACAAAACTGGTAAGTGGGGCATTCATCATTTCTATCGGATAGTGCTGTTTTCAAATGAGCTCAGCCCAAATTGTGTCTGTGTTGGTGCAAACTTTCTGAAGAGTTTCTCAAGGCCAAGCTATCGAAAGCTTCCTTAATTAACCAAGCAGGAAATTAATAATGTTGCTTTGATCTTTGGACGATGAGGTGGCCAGTGCTGCTGACGATTTCACTGGACGAAATGATCCTGGGGGTGCTGATGATTTAAACGTGCCTGTACAAGGAATGCTTCTGCAGCATCGCCCTTTGTATCTACTTCAATAGGAACAGAAAGACTTGTCATAATGAATTAATGCTTTGTTCTCTCACCAGAACGGCTGGAGACGTGGAGAAGAAAGTTGGCAGATTTATTTATACTCAGTATTTTAGTATTCTTTAATTTCGTGCTTTTGTGCTTTTGCAAGGTCCGGAAACATGACTTGATTTGATTTTGACAGTTTCACGAGTCGTGAAACTAGTTCCACAAGTGTGAAATTGAAACTAGTTTCACGGAAAAACGTGAAACTAGTTTCACAGGTGTGAAACTAGTAGTGAAACTGTGTGGTTTTCTACGGCGAATTTTCACAAATTCGTGAAACTAGTTTCACACCTGTGAAACTAAAACACTAGTTTCACGGAAATGTGAAACTAAAAACGTGAAATTGAAACTACAGTTTCACGACATGTGAAACTAGGCCGTTTCCGGACGTTGTTGCTTTGGAAGAAGAAGAATGAAGTCAAAGCCATGCTACGGGTGGAGAAGCAAACTGTCTTCGCCTGCTTCTTCACCTCTACCGGTAGCGATAGAGCCTCCAGCAAAGATAGATACATGTAGATATGTAGATAGAGATACCGGTAGTGCTGCAACGGGCGCTCACCATGCACCTACATGTACAATGTCATGTACTAGTGCCTAGGTTTTCTTACAGTAGTTGTTACATGTTCACCCATCACAAGAATTATTGATGATGATCTCAGGTGAACTGATGTGTCAAACTAAATGCCAGACAAATTTTTAGGGCCGGATAATGCGTACCATCCCAGTCAGATCCCAGCTCCATCGTCACCCATTATGACTAGTGGTGCCATCCAGTAGTCAGCTTGCTGCTTGTTGCTTCTTGCTACATGTAATCGACTCGACTCAGCACAGCAAAATGTACAGTGCACAGGCTGCAGTAATCCTGTTGCCTACTGTAGTGCATCAGCAGCTAACAGCATTGCAGGAGAACAGCTGCCGGTACAGTAGCTCTTCAGAACACTTCAAATTCCTTGGGAAACTTTCCACATGCGGCAAAACAGTACTATGTACACAGCTAGGTGGACGTGCTCCTCCGAGTGTTTATTTCTCAATTCCGTGCACCGATCTCAAATCCACAACCCAACTAAGTAGACCGCACGTCAGTCTCAGTCCTGACTGGGTCAATCGATGTGTTGAACTATGTATCTATCTGCTCGTGAGACTGGGCAATAGACCAACACAGTGGTTGCTTTCTCTGCTAGCTAGTGCCTCGTGTCGGGCAAGAAACGCCATCTGAGGCCGATTTGGAGTGACCTCACGTATTGTTTTTGACCAAAAGAGTGTTCTCTATCATCATCTGGTCTGTAAAGTTAAGTTTCGACGGCACGAAGTCGGCCATTGTGGAGGTCAGTACATGTACGTGACAAGCTACAGTAGTACTGCTAGCTAGCGTAAAATATGTGGATTTTCAACTTCCACGCTGTGGATCGTGGATCGTGGTGTAGACACCGTGGTATCATTTCTAGCAGCATAATATTAATAAAATTCTTTGAAACAAATAAACCTAGCAGAGCTGTGATTTGACCGAGGTGAAAACGACATCGACAGCGAGCCAAGAAGAGACGAAGAGACATGGACGGTCAAGAACAGCTTCAAGAATACCCAACCCAGCGACTTCGCTTTGTCTTCCAAAGAGAGAAGCCAAGGGACGACAACCACCCGCCAATAGACAAGACATGGTTCCAATCGACTCTCTTCTGTGACCGCGAGTTGCTTGAGTTCTCACTGCTAATCATAAAATCCATTACTGGCTGTTCTGTTGGATGCAATTTGCCGCTCCTTTCCTTGGACACGTACCATGACCAATTTCCGTCTGTTGGGACTATGGCTGCTGTGGGGTGCCAGCCACTTCCAAGTGGCCTTGGGCAAACGATATCGAAAGGATTTTAATCCCAATGCTCGTTCCTTTCTGGTTGTCAATCTCTCCGAGTCAGTGGCTGAAGTCTACTGGATGCATTTTGGAACAGAAGAACGAATCCTGCAAATGGAACTTCGCCCTGGGGCCAAGGATAGTTTGAATTCACACATCATTCATGAATTTGAGGTCCGAGAAAGGCCAGACGAACAGGGATTTTGTGGTGGTAAGTTTGCCAGGCGGACGAAAACTGAAGCATGAAAGCTTCATGAGTCGAGTCTTTTTCTTCCTTGTTTTGACTCCTTCATTTGCTTCATCATCTCCAGGCAGAAAAGGACGATGCAGAAAAAGACACTTTCAGATCAGCGCAGAGGAGGATCAGGGTATGTTTTTTGTTATCTGAATATTGCAGCTCTGGGATACCTACCGCGCCTAACTGTTCTCTCTACCATTTCTGCTTCAAGTATTTACCATCACACCTGACTTTCAGATTGAAGTGTCCAACAACAAGAGTCGAGCCAAGGAAAAAGCAAAGGATGTTTTGAGACAATGCCGTGAGTTGAGTGATTTTCTGGGAAAACTAAAGACCACCTTCAACCCTTCGGAACGATTAGATCAATTGGCGGATTGCATATCCCAAAATGTACACTCGGCAATCTACGAAACACAAGAAGAAATTGATTTTCAATCCGAGCTTCGACTAAAAATGGGTTCCAAGCTACAGAACTATGCGTGTCAGGACACCACCTTTTGGGAAACAGAACCATTGGATGTTCAGGTTTGGAATCCCATCAATCCAAACCTCATGTGGGATGATCTCAGCCACACCACACGAGTCTTGTTGCAGGCCGACACGACAATGATTGCCACAATCGACAACATGGTCCGACCGTCCGATTGCGAATTTGTGGAACGAGTGGCACAAACAACATGGGACTCCGCGTTGCCAGAGGTATTGTGGGAGGCACGGAAACAACCCGAAGTCATTGATTTCTTGTCACGGATATTCGCATACGTCGATCCAGCAGTGAAACTCATGAACCTCTATTTGGGCCTCCCTTCCAAGGATCAAAGTTTGTTTCGTGTCTATCATGACTCTATCAGCAACCTCGGGGAAGAACCACGGAGACACAAAACCCTTGATTGGCCTGTCTCGAGTGACTACTTTGCCAGGCTGTACATGTTTTGTGAGGTCCCCCAAGATGGCGGTGCAATTCACTTTCCAGAATCCGGTGTTCATGTCTATCCCAGATTGGGAGAGGCCCTGCTGGTTACCTATACCCGAGCACCAGCTCATCAAGGACTGAACGGGAAGCTCAGCAATGAACACATTGACTGTCCCATCTTTGAGGGGAATCGGACCATGATACAGCATCAATTTCGTCTGTTTTCGTCCATAACAGCAGAGGTTTGAACTGAAGGATTGGGTAGATAGTTTCTTTTAAGTTTTGCATGTGCAGAATCATCAATGCGTAGAATCTTCAATTGCGCTGTCTTGTTTGCCACTCATTCTACCTCGTGCGGGTGGGCAATGGATCAACACAGTGGTTGCTCTGCTAGTTATCTAGTAGCTAGAGGACATGAAGTAGGAAACTAAATACCGGGGAGGTATACCAAGCAATTCTGCGTTGCATCTGCCAGTGGTGGCACTATGCAATGCTGATCTGTAGGGGCACTGGGGTGGGCGACGTTCTTGCAAGCAAGTTCGAGTTAGCGACGTCCCCAGCCAAAGTTCATGGTACCAGGTAGCTATTTCGTGCATTCGCGACAGAGGCAAAAACAGGATTGCATCACTTGTGCCATAGAGCGTGAATGAAGCAAGGATAACACGATGGTGGAATCATTCTCTGAGGTTGAAGTTGCCTTGGCCAGGGAAGAATGGAGATTGATAGTTTGTTTACCTGTTACCAGAGCGATGGCAGTGGGCCTACTGGTTAGTGTGCAACGATGTGCGGGTCGCTCGGCCGCACCGTATCAATTTGCTTGGCTGGAAGGGAGATTCCAATGCTGGCTTGATGAACAGTAGCTAGGGAAACAAGTGTCAAACGCAACAGGAAAGGAGTTGCTGTTGGACGTACGAATCAAACACAAACTCCTATTGGAATGGCTAGTTCATCGGATGTTCACTAATTTATGAGATTATGATCTCATCAGCAAAGAGCTTGTTCTAAAGCTTGGATTTCTTACTTGTTTCTTCTTCTACTCTGCTAGACCACCGTCTGTAGAAATGCGGCAGTGCTAAAACAGTGTGTTCATCAAATTAGCTAAGAAGATACTATGGGTGGAGAGGAGGGGTGCCAGCCCTCCGCCACTTGGGCACCCCTCCTCTCCACCCATAGTATCTTCTATTTGGAGGATGGACCACAACTGAGTTTGGCCCGCTGTGACCCGCCATTTTCAGACGTGTATGAGATGAGTGAGTGTGACAGCGCGGTCCGAAAACAGTCGATCGAGTGGGCAGAGCAGCAGCAAAACCAAGGATGGAGGGGATGCAAGGTGGGGGGGGGAGGATTGAAGGAGTAAGACTAGTGGAAGAGATCAAGGGCACCTCGGTGCAGCAAAAAGTGACAGTGCTAAAACACTGTGTTTTGGTATGTAAAGAGATGTTTTGTCTATCCCTTTATTATCCAGATGCTTCGTGGTTCGTTTTAATCTACAAGATAAGGTGGGCGCCACTTGGGATGACTCAGGCTAAGGGCCTTGCAAGCATCCGAAGACGCTCATTCATGTCAAAGTTAGGATCCTGAGCTGCCTCCCAAAGCATCTCCTGAACACTGGGTAAAATGCAGTAGGCGGGAAGGGTCCATGCATGAGGCGTCTTCTTTTCGTCCGCCCACCGGGATTCAAAGTCTAGGCCATCCTCATCTTCACAGAAAGAACTGCTTGTGGACGAATCATTGTCTGAGGCATCATCATCGTCCGAGACATCGCTGTGGGAGTCCGAGTCTTCCAAGTAATGGCTACTTTCATCATTGGTCGTCTCCGAACAATCATCGTCGTAGGCGCCCAGCATCTCATCGAGAGCCAGTGCCCATCGCAATTGGGACCTTTTGGTAGGGTCTCTGGGTGGAAGATTCTTGTCTTGGACATCACTGCTGCAAGCACTCCAGCGGTCGGCACCTGCCTCCAGACTCGTTCTTCGGTGTGGACAAACTGGGCAACAGTTGTTTGCCTTGTTGTTGGCTGAGGACTCTTTGGTGTTGTTCTTCAGGCTATCCCATCTGCAAAAACCTGCAGTTGGAGGGCCAAACCTTAGTTTCACCTGGTCTCTGGCACTATCAGAGAGGATTGCTGGGTTGTCGGAAACAATTCGAACCTCCTCAAGCTCTGATATCTGCCTGTTGTGGGCAAACATGCCCTGAACAAAACTGGTAAGTGGGGCATTCGTCATAATGTCTATCCAGTAGTGATGTTTTCAAATGTCCTCAACTCAAGTTTTTCTTGTGGAGCAAGCTTTTATGAAGAACTGGGTTGCCAACCAATTTTGCGGAGAGTTTGCTTGGCTGTCACCAGGATGAGCTGGAATACATGTATTTTAGGTTTGAGGTGGCCAGTGGTGGTGACTGTATCGAAGCTTCTACTTTCCACTACATGTAGCTGAATCTAGCTAGCTTGTCTAGATGGAATGATTCATCATTCCATTCCATTCTACTAGGCCTTTCGGCGCCAGATGATTTAGATGTACCGGTACCTGTGGTGGTGTAGACTTTGCCTTTATGGAGAATGCTAAAAAAAATAACATCTACTAATCATTGTGACCAACCAACCAATGGAGAATGCTTCTGCACCCTCCCCTTCTTTTCATCCATGCCAATCAGCATTAATGAACTGTTCTCTGACCAGAATGGTGGACGCCTGAAGACTTAGTTGGCCAGCCTACAGTACGCCATTCCTGCCACTTCCTGCATCCCCCAAGTCTCCACGTTACTTCGACTACTAGCCACTAGTACATGCTGTGTATGTTGAAGTCGAGAGCTCATTTTTCTTTGAAAAAGGTGAGAACTCCCCAGAACAGGCGGCCTTCTCCCTCCGTTTGTCTCCTGTCCCGCAAGGCCGCATGGCCCCGCCCAATGCTTGAAAGAATCGAATCGAATCATTCGAGTCGAGTCGAGTCAGTCCCACTTCTGCAAACCAGCATGTCCAAAAATATTTCTAAGGGCATTCTCTACCTGCTCTCGTCCTAAAACTTGTTCTAAAGTTAGGACGAGAAAATTTTGTCAAATTTTTAGGACAAATCGGCAATCTCTAAAAAAATCGTTCTAAAACTGGACTTAGGTAAGGACGAGTTTTAGGACGCAAGTTCATTCTCTAAGAAACTCGTCCGTCGTTGATAGTGAGATTAACGTTAATAGGAGCTTCACACGAAGCAACTGTGTAGTCTATTGTGGTCATTGATTTGGAGTTTGTTATCTAGCTAGTAGCTTCCAGCTACCGTAGCTTCCAGCTACCGTAGCCATAGCTACCATTAGGGAGGTAAAGATCGGTCAGTTGATGACTCAGTCTTGTTAACTCAATCTTGTTGACCGGATGGCGATGATGTCATCAAAGGAGACTCAAGGATTTAAAGGACTTGTTAGGACGAGTCTTTAAAACGAGTTTGTTTTCTCGTCGTATTTTTGAAAAATAGGACGCAAATTTTCAGTTCGTCCTAAAAATCGTCCTAAAAATAGGACGAATTTGAGTTAAAGATTGCTTTTGTCCTAAAAATTCGTTCCAAAATAGAATTAGAACGAGTTTTAGAACGAACGAATCTACTAGAGAATGCCCGAACTAAAATTAAATGTGGGGGTCTGGCGTCTCTGAGCGTACCGTAGCTATTTTTAGAGTATTTGTACAGAGCTGGCCATCGGTACTACACCAGTGTAGTACCATAGTACCGCTATCCGGATAGGTGGGTGGCTGTGACGATGAATCTCAATGGCAAATTTGATCATTGGCTGCACAGAACGACGGTGGTACACCCATCTCCAATCCAGCCCCCAACCCAAATCGACTTGAACTAATGGAGTATGCATTCATCAGCCCCTCGTGAGGTTAGGCAATAGGTCAACACAGTGGTTGCTCTGCTAGATATCCAGTAGCGGACGTGAATATGGCAACTAAATACCGGTACAATCATGTAATGTAGCTACTGGCTGGCGAGGTAGACGACCAACCAAAATCTACTTTCCGTCAGCCAGTGATGGCACTAAGCAATACTCGCAGCGGCACCGGGGTGGTCGACGCTCTTGTACGAGTTAGCGAAGTACTCGACGTTTCTGCATGGTAGTTATGTGTGCATTCAGCATTCAGCGACAAGAGCCGACGAAAACAGAATTCTCTGAGCTGCCATCGAGTGAAAAAGAAGGATTGCATCATTCTCTGTGGAAGAAGTTGCCTTGGCGAGGGGAGAACAGAGAAAATTCATGGGTTGCCAGAGCCATTTCTATGCAATCGGGCAGCCAGTGGGCATCTAGCTAGCAGTGTGCATGGATGTATGGGTGGATGCTCGTGCACTACGCTAAAAGCTAGTGTAAAGATCTTTCGAGTGTTTTGAGTTTGAGAGAATGAAAGTTATGAGAGGATTAGAAAGCTATGAAAACTAATCAACGAGAGAGATCCATCAATCAAGGATCGTAGATCTGAACTCTCCGCGGGAGACTGTAGAGTGTGATAGAGAGTCACGGTTGCGGTAGCAATCCTACTCACTCCACACAATCCAAAACGGAACGCGTGGAAGATTCGTCTAGCATTTATCTATACGTGTAATCTCTCCACGCCAGCTAATATCTAGCGCGATGTTACACCATCGACCTAGTATGACTACGGGCATCTGAGAGCCCTGTCTCAATGACTATTCACGAAAAACTCAGTCATGAGTCGAACTCAAACCCTATCTAGGATGAGTCGCGAATAAGGCTAAGAGCCTGTATTGCAATTCGCACCCTGACAACAGGTCACGGAAGGCCGACATCATCGGACAAGGAGAACATATGAATTAAGTGCGGGGCACCTCCGGAGATTGGATTAACACTGTGCGTCGCACGATGCAATCCTACAAGGATCAGGCCTTGTATGGGTGTAAATACCTTATGTTCCAATCTGGTAGACTGTGCCGCAATTGCGGTAGTATGTCGGAGCCGTCAGTGCCATGTTATTGACTGGTCTGTGTGGTAAGGGCCTTGTGTGTTGGCTGACCGTATTAACGGTTCTGATAGTGATAATCATCATAGTTCGTTGACATGGTGTTGCATGAGGACAGTGCCGTGTTCTTCTTATACGGTGTTTTTTCTGGATAGTCGTGCGACGTTCCTTCATGTATTTCGGTTTGCTTTGAAAACGGATGTGGTGTGAAGCTTGTCGACGCATTGACGCGCGTGAACTTGCGAGAATCCCATGTCATCCCGGAGAGTCTCTCGACTCTGCGGATCACATTCTTCTTGCCCATGACCGACCGTCATGGATACGGTAACCACGTTGGTTAGAACGATGGTACAGTCTGCTGCTGTCGGAGCACCCTTGTAGTTCATTGGTCCAATGAATTTACGAAGTTCCTTCCTGTATGAAAGAGCGATAGCTTGGATCGCATCTGTTATCGTTTAGTTAAGAGTTGGCTCCTTCTCGAGAAGTCCAATGTCTAGATCTCCAGTTCTTCCTTCGGGAAGGCCTTGGTAGTGTATTTCAATCCCGACTTTCTTGAGTCTTTTGGGAAAGGTCATCCTACTGTTCAACGGTTTGCGAGATCGACGTCCGTTGGATGAGTTGATATCACGTATGCACGGACATTTTTCAAGTCGTGCATGGTGCTCATCTTCCTTTGGAGATGTGGACTATCACTAGGCCATTGGCAACCTCTGGTATCGTCCTTCCCTTCCGGAGTGCAATGGCATAGTGTTTTTCAGTGAGCTGACAGCTCGATGTGGTACATGTCCCGTGTTAGGTCTAGACTGGTACTGCACTTGAATCCATCTGGGTTCAAGAGCATGTCCTGTATTGGATAGATAAAGGCTTCTCGCTTGATCCGTTGTTCTGTTCCCGAAAAGCCGAGATGAATCGTGCAATCCCTCTTTCTTGGGAACGATAAAGGTTGGTGCGCCCATTGGAACGATTCACTTCTTGAGTGCCCCTGCTTTCCAGGACTTCAACATCCAATCTTAAGGAGTTGTTATGGACCTGTGGAGTAGGGAGCCTAGTGATAGATTTACGTCGGACGAAGTTCTACTTCGTAGATCCCTTCGCAACTCTCCCAAAGTACCTCGACTGGGTCGAAGCACTTGGTTGAAAAGGCATGAGGCATTCTTGCTCCTCCTTGTTTAACGGATTTCGACTCTGGCATATCTGCCTTAAGCCTATTTGTTCATATGTCGTATCAAGAATCTTCTTGAGACTATATGGCATTGTCGCTGACAGCTGCAGATCGGAAATGGAGAAGTTCTCCTTTCTATCTGGTTTGCCTCTTCGCCGGGAAAAATGCGGGTTCCACCCCAATGACATGTAGTGAAATCAACTTGATTCTTAGTTCGCAGAGAGTGTCTTGACCTATGATCAGTCATTGCGCCCCCAAGTTCTTGTGACGTGTAAATTCACTTGATAATTTACCAGTGACTCAGAATCGCGAGTGTGCCCTTACTTTCGTGCGGGGTCTCAATCCTCTCATAGAAGCAGTCCGTAATGTTTGGACCCCCCATGATTCTTCATGAGTAAACTCTTAGAATGAGTTTGAGCAATTAAAGTTCCGGATGCTTCTGTATCCAGTAAGCAACAGAGTGTAATGGGTTTTCGTTTCCTTTCGCTCGTCGTTAAATCTAACATAGACGATAGTTTCAAGGTCTCTTGTCGTGCGACGTTGATGAGTTGATGGGCAGGACGAAGTACGATGCTGAACAGATCGTCAGTGTCTAGTTTGAGGTTCTAGGCAATTATCTATAATTGCCGTGACTTCTAGTTGAAAACAAATCTTGTTTACTATTTAGGTGAGAATATCTTCATCACTAGGTATGAGAAATCGGACATGGTCCCGTTGAATCATCATCCTGGCCTAATCCTTCAGACGGAGATCCTCCACCGAATTGATTGAAGCGAATTCGGCAAGCGCCTGGTCGACAGGCGGCCATCTTCTTGTCCTCATGTGATGTGATCCCACAGAGCGAGTCGTCCCCGTTGTCGGAGTTGTCAGACTGGCGTTGGCAACATTGTTCATTCGCTTTCTTTTGCGATCAGCCTTTACCCAGCGTTGGAAACCTTCTTCATGAAGACAGAGATTCCTTCTTGGTGTAGGTCTTGCTTCGTCGGACTTGCTTTCCAAGTCTTGTTCTTGTTGTACGTTGCTTGTTATCGTTTCAGACGAAGACTGAGACTTGGCCTTGAGCTTCTTCAGAGTCATGCAGTCAGCATGGTTGTGAGTGCTGGACC